ATCATAAAAAATACAAAAATGATATATTTTTATTTTGACTTAGTTTATTTTATTTTTTCTCATAAAAAATATTTTATTTAACTATATTTTATTTATTTTTACTAACTTATCTTGTAAATTTAATTAAAATTATGTTAGTATTTATTTTTCTTTTCACACCTATTAAAATATATTTTTTTTAATATTGAAAAAGACCAAAAATATTTTATAATACTATAAATATTTTCAAGACAAAAATATCAAAAAAATACTTTTCTTATAAAACCTAATTTCTTTTATTTTAATTAATAGATTTAGGGTTTTGCTTAAAAATCTTTTCCTAGAAAATTAGGGTGTACTTTTCATTAATTATTTTTCTTTTAATTAATTATATTAATACAAAATCCCTTTTCTCTAAAAAATCCAAACAAATATCAATTTACTTCATATTTTGCATTTTTGCACATATTTATTCTCTTTGTACATTATATTCATTTAAAATCTTGTACATTGATACAAATTCAATTTGGTTGTAATAGATTAACTAGGTTTAAATTCTTGCAATCCCCATTTACAAATTGTACACCCCCTCCCCACAAATGTTGTAATAGCGTAGTAACTTTAAATTCCGCAATTTATCGCCTTATATATAATATGCTAGTAACTAGGGTTTGTATGGAAAGATTAAAACCAATACTTAGAAAACTATAATTCAAGACAAAAAAAACAAGCATGAAAACAATACACTTGCACACAAGCACCCCTAGTGTTATTCCATTTGGTTGCCTTATACAAAATGGTCATATTACGCATGTAAGGTATCTTAGCAAGAACAAGCAAATACGAGATCATAGTCCCTCGATGATGTTATCTAAGTTGCCTTTCAAATGATCTTAGTCCCTAAAAGAGAATGCTAAGCTACCTTCCAATATTGCTAATCATGGTTATACGATGACCCATGCTCGTCCCGTTTACATCCAAAGATAAGGTTGTTTACCAAATCAATAGTAAGACAACAATGTCAAAGGAAAAGAAAATGAACAAGAAAGACTTTTGAGTAGGTAGAATGCTCCTAATTACTTGCTCAATTTCAAAGCAAAACATCCTTGCTATTTTTCAAAACAAACACCTACACTTTCAAAACATTTTACAAAACTTGAAAATATTTTCAAAAGATCAAACATCTTTGTATACATTCTTACAAACAAGAATCATTACAAAGATTGCCTAAACAATGGCCTCTTTACAAAATACTTTCAAAAACCACACCATGCACAATTTCAAACAAAAAGCAAGTGATCTAGCAAGTAACTAAGAGCCCATGGAAAACCATGGATGAAAAGGGTGCTAATACCTTCCCTTTTCATAATCTACCCCCCAAACTCAAGAAACAATCTCAAAGGTCTTTCCTGTGCTTTTTCACCTTTCCTTTTGGATAAAAGAAAAGTCGGTGACGACTCTTGCTAACCGCAACATTTGCGATCAAACACAAAACCTTCAAGTCAGTTCTCCCATCGTATCACATCCATCTATTTCGCAGATGCATCTTCGAACTAATTTTTTGAACTAAAAAAAGGTGTGTTCGAAGATGCGTCACCAAACACACCATTCAATTGACTTTGAGCTTGCATCTCCGAATTTATTTATAAAAAAACAGAATTTGGTGTGTTAGGAGATGCATCTCCGAAAACAGAAGACTTTTTGAGAATTTCACGCAGGGCCTGGGAGATCTAGTAAGGGTGGGATGAGAAATTTCCATTAATATTATTTGACAGAAATGTGGTGCAAGTTCCACATGAACCTTTGTGATATGTAGTAAAAAAGACAAGGTTTTAACTTGACACCCCCAGTTGAACTTGGCACCCCCCAAAGTGTATGAAAAGACCAAAATAGTCCAACCAAATTTTCTCACAAACTTTTGAAATTTACAAGACCACGCCGAGAATTTCAAATTTACTGGGCGATACTGGAGATTTCAAGGGCATACCGGATATTTCGTGAAATAGTAAGAAATTTTCGGTATTTGGTCACGAAAATTTAGAAAAATTTGCTATTTTGTATCAAAAATTTATAAATTTCCAATTATTTCGTTACATTATATACCGAAATTTTTGAAATTTTCGGTAGTTTAAATTTTTTCCAAAAAAATCGGAAATTTCAAAATTTCTGGTATTTCAAGTTTTTGTGAAAAAATACCGGAAATTTCAAAATTTTCGTAGTTCAATTTTTATTGATGTTCATTTTTTTCCTTATTTGTTTCAGTGAGGATCGGGAGCAAAGATAGTACAGTTGCAGGCAGGTTGACTGATAGAGCGAAAGCTCAGGCCCGAGGTGATGAGGCACAGACTTCCGAGCTACGGACAGGACTACATGTTATGACCGGTTCTCATCAGAAATGGTTGACTGGGCAACAGGCGCAGTTTCGCGCACCCCGTCGACAGACTGCTTGAGTTTCTACTACTGAGGAGGTTCATGATCCTATGGAGTTACCTGATTCTATAGAGGCACACGCTCCTGCGGATGTGCCTGCTCTTATGATTGAGCAAGTTGTTGTGGAGTCGACTGCTGAGGAGGTTGTGGCTGCTGAGGAGGATGTTGTGAATGAGGGGGTTGCTGAGGAAGATAGTACGGAGACGGTTGCTAAGCAGGTTGTTGTTGAGCAGGCTAATGAGGTGTCTCACACCAATACAGACGCCACGACTCGTGTGTCTACGGAGCCATCAGTTCACACTGATGGAGTCTTTCCAGGAGGATCTTCGAACAGGTTTGTGCTGACAGGTATGAGGTTGCCGCTAGGGCATACATGCTTCATCTGATGGCATGCACTCTCTTTGCTTCTCATCCTGAGACCAGACAACTAACTGGTTATATGAGCCTATTCCAGATATACTAACATTTATTTTAATATCTGATTATCTGGTTTTTATTAATTTATTTGAGTGTATGAGTTATCAATTTATTTATGCAGTGTTGGCTATACGAGCACTTCCTCCACAGCTGTGACCGGAAGATCCAACGTGTCCTGCCTGGATCTGTTATATTTTGGTTGTATTATATGTGTATTTTGAAACACACACACTTCATATTTATTGTATAATATTTTGACGATTATATTTTTCGATTCGAAGATGAACATAACATAAAACAATACAATAAACATAAATTAAAAACAGCTAAACATGAAAACCTAGGCACTGCCAGATGATTCTAGATGTTTCAGCATCTTCATTATGTCGTTGAAAAATCTTGTTATCTACACATCCAACTCAATCGGACCTTTGGTATCCTACGCCGAAATGATTTCCAAATGGCCTTAACATCTTAGTCGGTCTTCAACTCAATCAGGTTGTATTTCACCCTTCCATTATTATCAATCCAATCTTCCTGAAAGTCGATCTTTCTCACCCTTATGTTATCGGTATCAGGCACCAATCCATTCAACTTGTCTGTCAAATTGGCGAGGGATGTGGCGCCATCTAGAAGCTTGAATTCAATAGGAGGATTGTTTCTGTTGAAATACACTTCTGTCTTAATCAGAAATTGAGGAAAAGGCTTTTTTTAGATGTATTTGTCTTATACGAATGATGATGCATTCTAGACCACACAAATTTGTCGGTGCAATCAGAACTCTCTAAAGATGTCAGTAAAATACTGATCGTTAAAAAAACTTGAAAATCAACTACCGAAAATCTCTATATATTTAAAATTTCGGGTACTGACTCGAAAATTCAAAATTTTCAAAATACCAGAAATTTTATATGCACCATCCGAAATCGTAAAATACTATCAGAAATTATAAAGCACTGATTTGATATAACCTACCGAAAATTTCCTCTGTACCAATTAAAAATTGAGAAGTGTCTGGTCAAAGTTGAAAGGTGTTAAGTTAAAATCCCAAGAAAGACATTCATTAACTTAAACTTTTAGTAAAAGTTTAGTAGCATTATTGTTGCTATTTTGACTTTTTAAAGATTAGTTTGTATTGTTGTTACAATTAAACTATTGTTAGCATACAAATATCTTATTTTTGATGCATGTCTAATTCTTATTTTAGATGAAATTATATTCTTTTAACGTGTTTTTTTTTCGTTTGTTATACTCTCGAAACCTTACAACAAAATTTAAAACATACATGGTAAATTGTTTGATAATTAGAAAAAAGTTACAGATGTGTGAGCGCTTAAATTGAATGAAAAATGAGAGATTGGACTATTTTGAGTTTTGAAAAACTTAAATTGAAAATGAAAATGTTGAAATTCGAATAGAAAAAAATTGTGCTGCATAGATTCTTCTAGAAATGGTCAAAATTGACATTTAAAAAGGTCATCAAAAAATGGAGGTAGATTAAGAAATCTTATTTTCTTGCGCCACCTATCAAATTTCCTTCAACCCAAATTATCAAATTTCCCTTTCAATTCTTTTGTTAGTGTTCTTCTTTTCCTAACCCGTTTATTTTAAAGAATTTTTCCTCATTATAATGACCAAATATGTCGTTAAATCTTGTCAATTCAACCAACATAGCTGTCCTCTAAAGAAAATAAATGATGTGCGTTCTTGCCAGAAGAGGCCATAGTTTTCCGGATATTTAAAATCTTCTCTTATGGTTATAGGTAAGGTACACCTCATAGTTTTTCATCAACTATATATCCCCATAGCTTATTAATAGTTCAAAAGTTGCTCATAAACTTCGAATTATTTTTGGCATACAGAAATTTATAAGATACAGTCCCAGAGCTTCATTACATCTGAAGGAAAATTGGAAATCCATTTTAAACAAATTTGACAGTAAAATATACAAAGAATCAAGTATAATTTAGTCTCAAAGGCATATACAAGAGACAAAAATTCAATAACACAGGGATGAAGGTTCTCCCTTTTGTGCCTGCAGTTTCTTTTGAAGTTTTAATTTAAGAAATGTCTTTTAATCACTTCCACTGTCCATAAGAAATGCACTGTTATTGAATTCAGTGTGATCATGCAGGCTGATAGGCTGATCACTGAAATTTAAAGCAAAAGGCAAATCAAACCAAATCAGAAATGCCCTTGCTCACAGAAATGCCAACAGGATATGCCCGGTGTACTCTTGATTTAGAAACAGATAGTTTCTCGTCTGAAAAGTTGAGACCAACTTTCTTTGTTATTATGGCTGAGTTCTCAATGGTGTCTGGTGTTTCAGCGATGAATTGAAGCCCCTGAAATGCATTAATGAAATATGTCACCTCTGGATAGGAGTTCGAGAACAACTTAATTGAAAGACATTAGATAGAGAAGACAAAACCTTAGGGGTTTTCTCCTCAAGTGTCATTGTAAGTTCTGCAAGTCCCTGTCGATAATACCCATAAAAACAAGGTTTGGTTTTTGCATAAGAAAAATTAGAAATTTCAATGATACTCTAGAGCAGTATTTATTATTCACAAATAAATGGATTTCAACATAGAATAGTCTTTAAATAAGAAAACGTTTCTTAAAAAAACCCAGATTCCTTTTTTTGACTACTTATACAGGCAACTAGAGTGGGGGGAAATACAAACAAAGCTGAAACATCTAACCTTGTAAACTCTACCATTTGGCTCATTGTTGAGATCGTCAGCAAGTTTGCACAAATACAAGATACCTGAGTTGGTAACATCCTGCATGATATTTAACAAAAAATATCAGGGAAATAATTAATAACTTTGAAAAACAAATGCTAGAGTGTATAACCCATGTCTACAAAGTTAGACTTATAACCTGATTGCCTTCGACAAGCTTGAGCTTCTCTTCCTATCAAGTTAAGCGATTGATTAAAGTTAGAACGTCAAAAAGATGATTAATCAATTTGGTTACATGGTAAAGAAAGAGCAGAATAGAGCAACAAGCAAGTTCTGCAATTTACCAGCCCGGACATCATTTGATGTATAAACTCAACATCACACCCAATCTGAGAAAGGTCTGACTTCACTGCATTCACCTGTATGATGATCAGTGTAAGAATTCATTTTGTCAAAGCACCTAGATCTATGCAAACTGCAAATTTAATTCACAAAATATACTCCATTATTGAGGACCAAACAAATTCAAGTTAAATAATTTAAGTAGATTAGGTTGTTTATTTTTTATTACACATTTATAATTTCAATACATAATAAGGGTTCCGGATTTGGTATTATTTTATTGTTATTTAGTATTTAGGATTTGCAAGCTTAAAATAGGACCTGTTAGGTTGTTAGCTTAGGTCTATCATAATTCAGTTTAAGCATTTGGATAGCTTTTGAATGATTAATTACAATAGTAATTTCTATTTAATGAGTATCTGAGTTTGAGTCAAAGAAGCAACAGAGCACTCCACACCAAAAGTATGCTTATTGAGGGAGTACCTCTGTCCCACATCAATTTGGTATATACAGTCCTGTATGAACACTACTTTCATACTCTATCGCGTTATCTTTAGTGTTCTTTCTAAATTCTACGACTTCAGCATTTTGAGGACACTATCAGATATTCAGATTCACACTGTCAAGTTAGACCCATTAATTCTAATGTCTCTCATGGCAACAAATCGGCAGAAAGTTGCTAGAAAGGATCCCAACAACATGGCTGCCAACACCAGACCCCCACTTTGAAACATTAGATAAAAAAACTGACCACATCAATGGATTCCAGACAGCCTGGTCCACAGAACCATGAAATTCCATGACCATTGGAGCTGGTATATGCCCCCATGTGCTTGCTACCTGAAGCATTTGCAAGCAGTCATGAACATGTGTTTATGTTAGGAAAAAAAATTTAAAATTCTAAATAGCAATTCAAGTGATTCCATTGTGATAGGAACCCAAACTGAGAGAGAACTGAAAAATAGTATTCTTGATTGAAAAGAAAAATTACAGAAGAATTGGTACTCCTACTGTCCAGAGCTATGCTCCTCTCGGAGAAGAGATGACTCTCTCTCCAAGCCAAACAAAATGGTTTCTAACCAAAAATCCTCAACGATCCTCCCCCTCTCTGTTTCAACTCTTATAACATGAGTCACACAATTCGCTAGCCTCCCACCCTCGGCCACGTTACATTCTTTACCTCCCATTTCCTATATTTTGATAACACCACTATGCACATAATAAGCATGTGCAACCAATTATTTAATTCGCCATTTAGGCCCGAATTATCATTTGAGGTCCTAGGCCCTAGCACATTGCATAGTAAACTACTATGTTAATGGAACTCAATGTTGACTACTTGGGAAGTTTACATTCATCCACTATCCATTTTGAAAGAAGATATGTCTCGTCTATATAGTCTTATGAATCGTTGGAACATCCAAGTTCAAGGGAAGTGACAAAGTGTGGGTGATCACTTAAAGCGAGAGTGTCTCTTGTTAGTCAGGGGCAAGAGGAGTTTGAAGTTTAATTGGAAGTAGGGTATAATGGTTCTTCTGCCCCACTTTCCATTAACTTGCAAAATGGAGGGACAGTTCCAATTCCAACGATCTTCGCACAAGCAATCCTTTTCACTCACATGATTCAACTCCATTTGATTTTTCTTACTCTTGGAAGGAGAATTCTCCCCTGGGGAAAATAATGTAGATTGGGATGTTATTTTATAATGAGTTTAAGTTTTAATTTTTTTTAATAAATGAACTTGGCTTTTAAATGTCTCAATTAGGGTTATATGATTGGGAATATTTTATTGTTATTTAGTATTCAGGACACTATTCTAATTTTGAATTATCATATTCCCTCTTAAAATTGGAACAATTCTGATAGAAACTGATTATCAAACAATAAAATTGAATAGTAATTACAATGAGTTTCCAAGAAATTCGAGAGTCTCGGTTCTCTCACTTCCAAGAATTCGAGAGCTTGGTCTCTCCCTCCCAAATATAACTTTTTTTCTAATTTTCAGCCTGCCTAGAACGAACATGGTTCTGTTTCCCTTTTTATTCTACCTAAGTTTTGTAACTGCTCCTAATAATAATAATTGTTACTCTAATAATTCTAATGGCTGCTCTTAGGCTCTCTAACTGCTACAAATAACATTTAATAAGGCTGCTCATATGCTTGTAACTGACAGAATTGATAGAATTAGAACAACCACATTCTGTTTTGATTCCTAGTAATTCCTAAAGTCTAACAAATTCTTAGGTTGATTGTCTTTATGCTACAATTAGGCCTTCAAACGTCAACACTTGGATGACTTTTTGAAGATTAATTGTAATCTAGTTTTCTTTTCAGAGTTTCTAAGTTTGAGCAGAAGGAGCAATTTGTACTCCTAGGTTACCTACCCTACATCAAGCATGCAAAAAAACCTTCTTGGGACATCAACACAAGTCTGACATGTAAATAACCAATATGAGCGAGCATGCGTAAAGAGTTCAACCCTTAATATCCACATTCTTCATAATTAATTTCGAGCATAAGGTAAATATGTTTTTGCATTGTCAACACTTCAAGCCCCAAAGCTCATTCTTGAGAGGGTATGCTAGAAAATCATTATTGGGCTTCAATTACCAGCTTGAACTTTTTAAACAATTGGTTTTTAACACACTGAAATACAAAGTTTTAAACGTCATTGATTGAATATGATGAACAGCTACTATCTTATAAGCTTAGAAGCTTGTTTCGGTGCTAATCTTGCATCTGATTGATTATTTATCTCTTTTAAATTTAGCTATCATTGGATGTCAAGCATGCCGTTCATCAAGGACCTTAGCAAGAATAGATGTACCTAGAGAGCCAACCTAACTCAAGGTTCGTTGATCAAGGGAAAAGTGGTTATAGGGATTGTAGATTGAAGAAATCAATGTATCGTGAAAAACTATTCTAAAAGCCCAAGTTTTTAAGTGAAAGCATGTGATTGATTTTAAATCTAGCATCCCTTCCCAGACAAGCCCTTGGGCTAGAAGCTGAATGTCGCACAGACCCTCTCTACCTTGCTAATTGCTAAATCATCTCTTATTTAGAATAACGGGGCAACAATATTCAAACTCTCTATACAACATTGTCAATGTAAATTACATTAATGTCTTTAACTAGACTAAAGGAAAATTAACTTTGCTTACATCATTTGATATATGTTTGCCTAACTCATTCTGCTCTTCCACCTTCAAGTCAAGACCTTCCAACCTTTTTGTTAGATGTCTTTTTGTTGACTGTTCAAATTAAATTAAATAAACAAAAAAGATCAGCACCGTTCATAGAGAAAAGGAAATTGGTTCTTTTCATTCAATTTTCTCTCCATTTCTTTCCTATCTCTCTTTTAATCTTACTCTCTCTCTTGATTCTTTTATTATTTTTTAATGAAGAGAAAGAGTGAAATCAAGAGAGCGATAGAGAGTAAGGAGAGAAAATTGAAGGAGAGGATCAAAATCCAGAGAAAAGATGTTCAAATAGGAAGAAAAAAAAGGAATATCAACAACTAATAAAAGCTACTTACTGCCAATGTTTCATGTACATTCTCCAGTTGCTTTGACACACTTGCAACAGCATTAGCCATATTCTTCTTTGTCGCAAACATTACATCAGAAAATGACAAATCCTGCACGAAAGTAGTAAGACTACATGTGTCAAACATCGTCATGTCACATCTCATATCATATCATATTCTGGTTCATACATAACTAACTACATTTGTGAAGAAAAGAAGCTGGGTGAAGTCTCACCTTCCACCGCATGTAACAATATCCCACAGCTCCTATGGCAGCAGCAGGTAGTAAGTAAGAAGCAAGACCCCCTGCACCCAAATGTTAACATTAATATATTTATACAGCGAATAAGATTCTCTTGTATACATTTGATGATAAATCTCTCAACACTTGGAAACTGAGTTATTAAATTTGACTCAGTAAGTTATCAAATTACTGGGTAATTAGTTGAACCAGTTGAACGAATATAGATGTCTATACTCCAATTTTAAAAGAGTATAAAGCAAGTACCTAACACACCTTAGCAAGTTTAATATATATAAATAACATATAAATAATACTACCTTTGTCCCTAACTATAAGACCTTATTCACTAAATCTTATATATAATGAAAATTGGTATTAATTAAATTGGTAAACAATAGATATCATTTTTCTAAGTTTACCGTTCAAGCGAGGTGATGATGTATCTTCTTCATCATGGCATTTATTGCTAGTAAAAAAATTTTGAAAAAAAAAATATGTAAAATGATGATAGATATTTTGACAGAAATAATTAATATAGTTGAAAATTTAAAAAAAAAAAAAAAAAAAAAAAAAGTCATATAAAAAGGGGACAAGAAAAATTCTCAGGAGAGTCCTATATCTAGGGACGGGATATATGTTTATAATCACGAGTTTGAAAAAGAATTGAACATAGGCTAACTATTACATCTCAAATCCAATGTTTAAGATAACCATTGAGAAGATAAGGGGGAAAAAAGGTATAGCCCAAGTTTGCAGAAGTAGAAGTTGTGGTATGATTGAATCAACATACCTCTAGAAGAACTTTCATTATAGATAGTCATAGGCCTAGACAAGGTCAACTCCCTAATTTCTTGAGCTAGTTGCCGAACCTGAAGTTAAATACTCATATTTAGCATGAAAAGTGAAAACCAATAAGTTCATTGTGAAGAAATAGCTTTACCATAAGCATCAAATATTATAAAATGATAAAACTGAACAAGAAACAGTTGAATAACATTGGATTATTTCTGAAATTCTACTACGAATAACAGTATGATATCAACATAAAAAGAGTAGTTTGTCCAAATATAGTAGAAACTCACTGCCCAACTCACTCTCACTACCAAACAGAATATCCTCAGCAATTTCAGCGACCTGATTCTCTCTTGCACCATTCCAAACTCTTTCTCACCTCTTTTCCTTCGTTTCATTATCCATCCACCAATTATCTGGATTCTTTCCTGCCTGCCATGCTAAAGGGGAGTAATTTTCCTGTTCATCTAACTATATGGATCCTTTCCCACCCTCCCATATTCTCATTAAGACTCCCCGTGGCTCAAACTCTCTACATTCATCTATTTCCTCGTCCAATACTTAAGTAATTGTAGGCATAGCCGTGGACCTACTAACATATAATTTCACCAGCAGTCATCAAATTGAAACTTCAAAAATAAACAATAGCCTAACTGAAATATTTTTCCTTTCTCACAGGTAATTCCCCATATAACTAATAGTTTAGTAGGGCCAATCTACTGAGCAATAGCCTATAACTAATAGTTTAACCCACATAAAACGTCAACAAAATAAAACAAATATATATATAAAAACGCACCAAGCTTCCAGCCTAACATCACAGACATGTAGTCACTCAAATCACTAAGGGCCTGTTTGGATTGGCTTATTTGAGCTTATCTTATGCCATAAGTTTTGTGACCCTGTTTGAAAGAGCTTACTAAAACAACTTATAATAGCATTATTCATACACTTTTTTAGCTTATTTTTATATGTCCTCAAAGATAACTTATAAAAACTTATAGCACATGTAAAAATAATTTAAATTTATTTAATCTTTTGTTAGAAAAATAGCTTATGCAAGTTTTTTCATAAGTGCTTATTTTGATAAGCACTTGTGCTATAAGCTCCAAATAAGGTGTTTATCCAAACAGGTCCTAAAACTCGTTAATTCTCAATCCTCCTATGCTATGAAGTGGAAAGATTTTCAACAAAAAACATACCTGAGCAGCAATAACGGCGGTGTCATATCCAGCAGTTGAAATCTTAACCTGATCATCAACTCCCTTGAGCACTTCCTGAAGCTGTGCAATAACAGCAGACAATGGTCCACCGTTCAAAACCACCGAGCTAGCCAAACCTAAAATCGGAATTAACCAACAATGAAAAATCAACGATCCAAAATAAAATCAGAGAAGAATGTAATCGGAATCATAGAAAGGAAAAGGAGAGAATTGATAGCGTACCAGCTCCAACGAGGATGAGAACCTTGGAGGAGCTAGGTGCCATTTGTAACGCCATGATTTTTCAGTTGAAAAGTTTGTTACGTTACCGTCGGCTTCTTCTTCTTCACGGGGGTGTGTAATTACCGTTCTAGGTTTCGATAAAGGAAATAGAGAGAAAGTAAAGGTGACTGGGTATGACCGGGATCAGGTGCAGTCAACTTTCCATGCACTTGGTCTTTTTATCATCATTTGATTTGATGGGCTTCATGTTCAATTGTGATCCATCAAATTGTTTTTGGAAATAAAAAATATTTTGACACGTTCAGCAGTAAACGCACCGTTTTTTATTTTAAATTAAAAAAATAATTTGGGGTGAGAGAGGCTCGAACTCTCGACCTCAGGATTACTCTCAGCTATGAGACCTACGCGCTAGCCAACTGCGCCACCACCCCGTTCTGTTACTCTTGATTACCATTAAGTACTTAATATATTATCTAGTTTTATACATATATTATATAACTTTTAAATTGAATATGTTAAAAGATGTAATAAACTTTATATAATATTTTGTTATCTTATGTAAGGAGAATTTTGGTAATGTCCACAACCAAGTTTAAAATGTTGTCCATAAATTAGATCTTATGTCAGATTACAAATATAGCTTATACTGATAATACTTCCAACCTGAAAGAAAATCTGAATTGAACTTATACGTGGACCTTAACTTAGAAGAAATTTGTTGGCATGAAAAATTCAAAGTTAAATGACACTTTAAAGGAGACAGGAACACAAGATTTTTTTCATAGAATGACCAAGATTAAAAATGCCACCAAGTTGATCTCTTTCATCAGATTTAATGATAATCTTTTAACTGATTCTAATGACATTGCAAAATATTTTATAGATCAATTCACTTCTTTCTTCATTGTCCGTAATCAGTTCCATGATAAAGTTATCATTGAGAAAGTGATTCCAAAACTAGTTAATGTTAATATGAATAACCTTCTTACCCTGATTCTTAGCATAAGAATCCACAATGTTGTATTTTCCATGAGCAATGGGGGAGCCCTATATCTTGATGGCTTTTGAACCTATTTTTTCCAAAACAATTGAAATATTATCAAAGTAGATGTCAATGTCGCCGCTCAATTCTTCATTCAATGCTAACGTTATTATTCTTGTCCCCTTTTGTTTTGTTTAGTTGTGGATGTTCTTAGCTGAGCTGTCTAAATGCTAGTGGATAAAGGTTATCTCCACCTTATTAGTGGTCCAAGAAATCACAAAGTTCCTTCTCATATTCTCTATGCATAGGACATCATGCTTCTTTGTAAAGGAAAATTTGGTAATATTGAAGCTTTGTCCAACCCTTTTCATAGATATGAGGAGACGTTCGGTCAGGTGGTCAACCGCACTAAATCTTCCTTATTCCCTTAGAAGACAAAGAATATAAGATCATTTGACCCCACTCTTCTGCTGGTAGCATATCTTTCAAAGAAGCTTACTCTCTCTTTTCCCATCCTGTTCAAAACATCAGTACGATAAACACATTTGGAACAAATCTGAACCCTCACCGTGCAATTTATGATTGCCTCAATTGTTGGCACCTTCAACATCATCTGGCATTGCATAAATTATCTAGTTTCAGAGTAGATAGAACCATCATGCACTTGCCAAGTAAAGAATGGAAAATTTGCCAACAAATAATATTGTGATGTACCCACATTTCCATTTTCCATACACTCAAACTCTTTTTTCACTCAAAGGCAAATTGTAGTCCATAAACAGTAATCACCAAAATGCAACAAAATAACATATCCAAATGCACAATGAAAAAAACAACTATCATTTGATAGAATTCCGTGTTTTTATTTGCACTTCCAATATTCATATATACAGCACTTCTTCTTTCCCCCGCATTTCTCTGCGCTTTTTCTTTCCCCCGCATTTCTGTGTTAAATAATATATCACACTATTTGACACGTAATGTCAATATACAGTGACAGTTTTAACTAATTTACATGTATTCAATTGATATCTTTTATATAGTACACTTTTACATGCCACTATGTTTTGGCTTCAAGAATTGTTTTTTAGAGCTAGCAAGCACTACTTGACTCGATGGTTGACTTAGCTAGCCACAATAAGCCAGGATCATTCCGCTTCAACACCAAGTATGCATCTTCCTTCCCAAGATTGTCAAATATAACTTCGTCTCTGAAACCAACCAATGAAAGAATTTCCAAAGCAGCTGCAGCAGAAAAAAGAAAGATATTAGCCCAATTTTAAGCATGTACAGAAATAACATGCCAGTATGGCATATGATTGCAAAAGAATTGCACACAGAAAACATGTTCTGTCTAGATTGGAGTTCTATACAACCAGAACTGCTGAAATTAAAATTCAATGGTCAAAAGATGCAAACCTTTATTAGTAAGGATATTCCTCTCAATGACAGGATTAGCCTGCAAAAATAGTGTTCATTATTAATTTATTATATAAATAACATAAATAGAATTACTGGAAATGTCAGGGTAAAGCAATGCCGCAAGCAGCATTCCAACTTGCAAGAGGTAGAATAGATTATATACCTTCCGCAATCTCTTGTATTTTTCCATTTCTGGATGTTCAATCACATTCCTGCAATAGAGAAAGAGATGCTTTATGTCAGGACTAAACAAAGAATTACTGGAAGTATTTTCTGAATTTTTTTGAAGCTAAAACCTTGAAACAAGTGGATGGTAAAATGGTATCAATGATTTCTCTGTATAATTGTGCATAAGCATACCTAATTATTTTCAAGAGAGTTTGGAGAACTGAAGTACTCTGCATTGGACTAACTTCACTTTTAAGCACCTCAAAGGCCTTCTGCAATCTGTTACAAACAGCCGTCATGGCACCATTTATCCTCTGCAGTTCTTGGTCATCGGGATCTGGCTCATCAGTCTGTAATGTAGATAATTTTGGTGTGGGAACCACGCTGTCATCAGGATCAGGTTCTGCCATATTTATTTCTACATCAAATTCATTATGAGCAGCTGTCGTTTAAGTATCATTCGACATTTAGATGCAATAAGAAATCAATTGAATCAAGAAATTATTAAGAGAGAATGATAGTTGCTTTGAAGAAAAAAGAGAGGAGAAAGTAGTTAGTTTAGACAGCAAAATAGTTGGTTAACGGAAACTAGTTATAAATAATAGTGGGAAATATTGGTAAATCAAATAATTATATTTTGAGAAGACCTAAAGAGTGTCCAGACGTGAAAGGGGAAATCCGTGGAGGAGAAATATTTCACCCAATACCCACCATTTTTAATCAAGCAATAAAATTATTTTTATTTCTTTTATTTATTTCCAAGGCGGCCAATAGTAAATGGCTGTCAGGGGAGGCCGCCTTGGAAATAAATAAAAGAAATAAATAATTTTATTTATTTCCACCCACTCATTATTGTGAAGTTTATGAATGACGGTGTGTCTATCTAAACTACCTATTGTTGGAGAACACTTACCAATTGCTGGAGCAGTAGACTTTAACGATGTTTCTGAATCATTTGCATCAGGATAAGTTGCATCCATATTTACTGTACCTGTCTGAGAATGCAAAGGTTCTGCTACACCAAAATTAATAGGCTTTTGGTCAAATACAGTCCTGCTATCAGTAGTTTCTGGACAAACATAAAAAAGAATAGCTTTACCATGATAAGAATCATCAGGATGAGGTTCATGTTTCATTCCATTTTTAATTTGATCATCAGGGTCGGGCTCATTAAGTCCTTCGTCAATAATGATGGGTGTGTCGGTATATTTAATTTCTTCGGAGGAAGATTCCATATGATCAGGGTTTTCTCTGATATTAGCATTGGAATCATCACGGTCCGGCTCTTGATTTACTTCGGACTCACCCAGCTTGTTAGAGACAACACTAGCCATCCTATGGTAAGCAGCAGTAACTGAAGATTCCCGAGCACTCATTAGCTGGTCTGACCTATTACCTCCAAGCTTCTGAGGAATATTGCTATTGTCGTCAGCTATAAAATCATCTTCATAGGTTTCAGAACTCCTCACGCCACTCAAAGTGTGGCCTGCAGATCTGGTCCAGTCTAAACTAGCAGCTTCTTGATTTAACTGTCAAAGAAAAAAAAATTAAATCAGCAAGGCAATAAATCAGAATGTAATAATAGACTAATAGCCAAATACTCAAGAAAGTGAATGCACCTGCTTATCCAGAGCATAAAAGTTTGCATCATGTTCAGAGTATATCATGTGAGCCTGAAATGAAACACGGGTTACTCTAATAACTTTCAAGTCACAAATAGACATGTGTGCCTTATATTTTTTCTGTTATTTAAAAGGCTTATGATCAAGAAAAAAAACATGATACTTGTGGTGCGTGATATAGCTTACAAGTTCATGCAGTAGAGTTTTCTTAATGCTTTCGTATTTCCTGAAACCCTTGAAGTCATCGGTTCGAAGTCGCAATGATATTTCATCTCCATGATTCTGTAAATAGGAATGGCAATAAGAGAAATTAACAAGAGAATAAAAGTGGATACTTAATATACCATGCTTCCTCATCTTGAAGATTCCAATACCTCGTTAAAACCAAGAATGCATTTTGGGCTCACACCAACATAACCAATGGGAGCCATCTCAGTCATGATTCCCACACGCCAACGATGCTATAAGATGCAAACCAAACATTTGTCAGGATGTGCACTGTACTGCCATTATGATACAAATATATAACTATGTTAAAATGTATTTGTGTACCTTGTTCATGATTGCAACAATTCCGGGATCAGCAGCAAGCATATGCATTCTTTTCAGTGCCTCAGACGGAGGGGGGTTCAACTGAAGGTAGCGGAAAGTAAAAACCATTCATGATAAGTAGAGAAACCTCCATTAAATTTTACAAGTATGATGAATAGCAAAGAAAGAAATGGACAATCAATAACCATTAACAAAATTTAACGGGATAATGTCATATGCATAAGCTGCACTTTCCCGGTCTGAAAGCAAATGTATGATTTTTTTTTTTGCCAAAACACTATACTAAATTACTAATAACAAAGTAAATGAAGGTGCATGAGGAACTATTGAAGATAAAATAGGAGCTGCATGATTGATGATTCTTTTCTTGAGCTCAAAATTAATAATCAATAATCATATTGTAAAATAATACCTTCAATCCAGGAATTTCAAGAGTGCGAAATTCACAAAATATATAAGGCCCCTGTGGAAGTTTCAAAGAAACACGAGGTCCATGTGAAATTTTCTGTTTCAGTCTCTTTTCCTCGTCATCAAATCCTGCTATTCTTAAATTTGCTTCGGCATTTTTCAGAACTTCATCGACCTCATTTGTTGATACGCCCATCATTAGAATTGACTTGGTCTGGAAAGGAAAAAAAATAATTTAGGGCAACAATACAATAACAAACAACCAAAGCCTAGTGGGGGTCTTCTACATGGATCAAGAGACACCATAACGGTCAATCCTGAATCACACAGCTAGTGAAAGAACATTTAGATCCAACTTATGGGAGAGGTATGAAATCAATTCTATATAAGTGAAGAGGTGGGGGTCAGTGAGGAGCGCATGAGAATTAGCAATTGGGTAACTGCAGTATTGCCCGAGTTCTTGTTCTACTTTCCATTTCCTGCTTTGAGCTTGTAACAGAGGTCTCCTCCTCCCGTTATTAAAAGTATTTTCAGATTCATGTCAGCTCAATATATGAAGAAATCCTTACTCCTGAGCCGAAGATCTAATTAGAAGAAAGTGCATGACATGTGATCATGAATGCAAGTAACCTATCAGGAAATACCAAGATACAGTCTCTTCTTTCAGAATTAAAAAATAATACGGTTGGAATAATAGCATATAAGAAAAACCTACATTTATGTTGTACATACTAAGAACTGTAATTTGAATGTCGTTAAATATTAATCCACATGATATAGTATACGCAAAAGATAATACCTGGGTAATGGAAGCTTCTCGCAAACTTAAAATTGCATGCTCTGTTGAAAAGGGAGCCAGCAGTTTAGATGTTCTGCCAGCAACCTGTGGAACAATAAGCTTCATGGTATCTTCTCTGATATTCGTTAATTTTTGCAATTCCTTCCCTAGACCCTTCACAGTGTCATCCAAACTCATGTCTACAACAAACTTTTTTCCCCTCCATGTAACAGAGATGTTGACAAGGCTTGATGGAGCGTGCATATTTAATCTATACAGAATTCAAACACATCAGGTGATTTACCACTGATTCAACAACATGATCATGACATAATAAAGTTATCCCAAATTCAAGAAGAATCCTAATAGAGAACGGTTGATAGCTTTGTATAATCACAAATACTATAAAATTTGACTAAATTCAACCTAATCAAGAAATCAAACTGATAACCAGTACAAGTAATTCGACAATTTCGACAATTGACAAATTTTCAACTACAAGAACCAATTTCTGGAAATTAGAAAAACCCAAAAGAAGGAGAATTTCGTGGCAAAAACGAGAAAGGAATGAAAATTAGAGAATTATCGAATCTTTAATTTAGTTTGTGTCATGATCAGAACTGAAACTACGGCATCGAATAACGAAGAAGAGAATTGAATTACCTTAAGGTTCTG